CAAAATCCAGCAATCCTGAGCCACAGGACAATGCAAAAGAAGATAATCAACTGTTTCCATGTCATTCTTACACATATAACACCAATTGACCATAATCGGATTTCACCTCTTAAGGTTCTAAAGAGTCAATATCTTCCCCAAGATAGAGGTCCACACAAAGAAAGTCACTTTGAGAGGGGCCTTCGAACACCAAATAGCCTTCCACTAGGGTAGACTCAGAACATCCGAAAGGCACCTATAAAAAGACCGAACCTCAAAGTGACCCCGATGAAACGGAACCTATACACAAAATTTGGAAACCTCCCCCACAATGTCCTGGCAATAAAGCAACTCAAAAAACCAATGGCATCCTCAAACTCCCAATCTTGGAAATGCCTCAAGAAACGAACACCCCAAACTGTACGCCCACTATCGAAACGATAATAGTCCACCACCAAGGCATATCTATTTGTAGCAATTTGAAAAAGTCTTAGGAAGATGAGAGCGAGAGGACGATCACCACACCAAGTGTCCTCCCAAAAACGGATACACTTACCATCCTTAGGGTTTGGATTAAAGAAGTTAAAAAAGAAGTAATGGAACAAAACAAAAAAGGAAGGAGAGAAATAAGAAAACGAAAAGGAAAGAAGGGAAAGATGAAATAGAAGAAGGCCCAATTTGCCCTTTTTCAACTTTTTTCAGACTTCCCTTCCTCCTTTTTTTTTTTTTTTTTTTCTCGGTTTGGTTTGGTTTATAGTTGGTAAGTTAGCATTAAGCTCACTACAAGGGATCGCGTGAAAATCAACTTTAGAAGATTCGCGCCCTATTCATGATGTCATATTAACTTGATCCGACTATGACTTGGAATCAAACTTGACCAGCCAGTGTCATTCGTTTTTACTTTTTCTTGATTTTTTTTTTTTTTTGAAAAAAATCAAATTTATATGTTTAAGAAAATACTTTTACATTGTTAATCAAAAAAAATTTTTATACTTTTACATTTAATGAACATCTTCTGTGGTAAACTTGTAGTCTAGTTGGTCAGGCTACTCAGCTCTCACCCGAGAGACCCGGGTTCAAGACCCGGAGCAATGGAAATATTCTCCCATTAGGGTTTCAATTTCGAAAGTTCTTCTCCACTCAATGGAAAAAATTTCAAGTCCCGGCAACGGAAATATTTTTGAGCTCTGCCTTTCTTATGCTCTAATTAAGGGTTTCAATTTCAAAAGTTCTTCTTCTTCACTCAACGGAAAAAATTTCAAGTCCCAGCAATGGAAATATTTTTGAACTCTGCCTTTCTTAAGCTCTAATTAAGGGTTTCAATTTTGGAAACCTCATCTTCATCACGCGCACAGTTGAAACTCATCTTTCCTATCCTCCAATTAGGGTCGACTCTGCCTTTCTTACGCTCTAATTAAGGGTTTCAATTTCGGAAACCTCATCTTCATCACCGGCACGGTTGAAAGTCGCCTTTCCTATCCTCCAATTAGGATTTCAATTTCCAAAGATCTGAGGTAATTTCTTCTTCTTCTTCTTCTTCTTCTTCACTCACCCACATATGTGCATGCAATCACCCTCTTCCATAGTCTTTGCCTTTCAACCCCAAATCTTTAAAGCCATTTACCCAGAAGAGCCTTATTGAAAGGCACCTGTCTTCTTTCGATTCCCAAACTTCCCTTCCGGATTGGAGTACAAACCTGCTCCCAACTAACCAAATGAAACTTGAACTCCTCCCCCATGCCACCCCACAAGAAAGTCTGCTGCAATCTTTCAATAATCTCAGCCACTGAAGAGGGAATCCGGGAAATAGAGAGAAAATAAGTAGGAAGACACGACATAGTGCTCTTCATAAGAGTGACCCTCCCTTTCTTTGGCCAGCCTCTTCTCATATCTCTCAATCAGTGGATCCCAATAACCGACTCTTCTAGAAGGAGCTCCAAGAGGCAAACCCAAATAAGAAATGGGAAGAGAGCCAACATTGCAACCCAATATATGAGCTAAGGTGGAAATGTTCGGAACCTTCCCAACCAGAGCCAGGACACTCTTTCCCACATTTACCTTCAAGCCAGAAACAACTTGAAACCAAGTCAAAACACATCTCAGGTATCTTATTTGAGACACATCCGCATTACAGAAAACTAAAGTGTTATATGCAAACATCAAATGAGATATCTCCAACTCACAAGCAACCTCGTTGCCCACCCTGAAGCCCACCTTGAAGCCTCTAACAGAACCCAAGTCCACTGCCCTTGACATCATTGTGCTGAGAGCCTCCATCACAATGAGGGACAAAAAAGGGGGAGGGCAGATCCCCATCTTAACCCCCTCGAACTGGCAAAGACACCCGTCTGAGCTCCATTGACAAGGACTGAGAGACGAGCACTAGTAATATAGAACTCAATCCATTTCCTCCATCTCTCTCCAAATCCCATCCTATCAAGAATATAGAGGAGGAAACTCGAGCTCACATAATCATATGCCTTCTCAATATCCAACTTGCATAGAATCCCTAGAACCCCGCCACTCAGTCTAGAGTCGACACACTCACCAACAATAAGTGCATAATCTAAAATCTGACGACCTCCCACAAAGGCATTTTGAGAGTCCGAAATGACCCCATCCAAAACGTCCCTCAATCTCATAGCCATAACCTTAGCAATTAATTTATAAAATATCCCACCAAACTAATAGGTCTAAAGTCTTTAACATTAGTCGTTCCCCCCTTTTTGGGAATGAGAGCAATAAATGTAGCATTCAGGCTTCTCTCAAAGCACCCTTGGAAATGAAAAGCATGAAATGTACCCATCACCTCTCCGCTTACCACCTCCTAGCTCTTAAGAAGGAACCTCATAGAAAAACCATCAGGACCCAGAGCTTTATCCCCGTTGCAGCTCTTCATTGCCTTCAACTCTTCCTCTTTAGAAAAAAGCCTTTCCAACCCAACCCTATCTTCCCCCGAAATAGCATTAAAATGAAGTCCCCCAAGCAAAGGGCGCCAACTTTTCGTTTCTGTGAACAACTTCTCATAAAAAGAGGCAATCCCCCTATAGACCTTGATGCAGGCAGAATTTCATCAGACCTCCTCCTTAGACAAAAGCGACCCTTTCACCACAATCCTTCCAATATGGTTGCCCCTCCTTCTGTGAGCATTTGCGAACCGATGAAAGAATTTCTTATTTCTATCCCCCTCCTTGAGCCACAAAGCTCTGGATTTCTGTCTCCATGAAAAATGAACTACTTTTCGCAGATGCAGAAAAGTGAACTGAACAAATGGGATTACACAGAATAATATATTTAAATAAATAATAGTAGTTCAATTAGAATATCATCCAATCTTCATTTTCAAGTTCAATTCCATCAACTCATAAAAAGAGTCATCGAATAATTCATCCTGTATATGAAATCCGAGAAAATAACCAATTCCATAACCTGTCGATCAATGTGTACCCTTTAGGGACCTTTCCCCTGGGACTGCTGTTCCCATTCTTCGTCTTTAGGGGCTCGCACCCAGGCACCGTGAACACCCCCCTCATTAAATCCGGGCCATTTAGGGTCTTTCAATCCAAGAGAAACTCTTACCCTATCTATTTCATGCCAGAGACATACGCAGTTGAGACCAAATCAAAATTTAAAGTAGGAAACAATATTCAATTCTCATGACCAATCTGTTTTTCTCCACAGCCACAACTCATGTTCAGAAATTCACTAAAAATCTAATATTTCATATTTCTTGGTAAAATAAAATTTTGAAAAAAACTGCAAAGTGTCTATTTTCGCATCTCAATATTTCATTCTCAAAATCCAATGATAGATGTGAAATAAAATTAATTTAGGTATTGCCGTCCAAAACTTGTACAAATTTTCAGCCAAAACATGTTTTCCTTGCAAGTTCACTAATAATAGCATTCTAAGTCAATTTGTGTGAAACCTGGACAAAGCGAACAGACCATATGTTAATTTTAAATTGGATAGCAATTGGAGAGGGCTATCAATCTACAGCTATTGGAGAGGGTTCAATCAATCGACAACCTCAGTATCTCAAACTTTTTTCAGCTCGATCAATCGAATCGACCCGTCGATTGAGGCTTACTGTTTTTGTGTAAATTCTTGTATAATTATATTTATTCCAAAAAAAATTCATGCATTTAAAACATCTATTTCATGAATTAAATTGTGTATGCATAATGGCTTAAAATGAGAATGCATGATTATGAACCCTAATTGGTGAGTCAGTTATTCAATAAATGATTTTACTTTTTCTTTCCCCTTTGATGTAACTTCAAATTTTGATTATGCCCTTGGACATAGGTATCGTCACAAACTAACTGAAATAACTTTTGAAAATCTAATCAAAAGTTAAAAAAATAAAGACAGACTCCAGTTATTTTTACGAAATTTGGCAACACTAAGTTCTAATCTTAACATAAATAATTTGATATCTGCAAGAGTGTCAAAATATTCGCTTAGAAAATTCTAATTGTTGCATAATCCAATCTACATCAACACTTACTATTTATTTCTTCCAATGGGGTATAGTATTTTGTTTGGGCAATTATATTTATTGTTGTAGTCTATAATGGTATTTTAAAGGTCTATTTTGGTGAGGACAAATTAAAGGGAAATTGATACTAATTTTATATGGACATCAAGAGTAGCAAAATGAAGAATTTGCCAACAATTATAACTGCTAAACACTTGTTGCATGAATGGGTAGTTAATAAGTAAATCCTAGAGATATAATGCGATGGTTACCATTATTGATGCAAAAGCAACAAGAATCGCAAAGCAAGTCCCTTGCAATTACATACGGTGAGAGAGGGGGATCTGCTGAGCTAGAACTTTTCATATTCAAAAGTTGCTAATTTGATTAGAGTTTCTATAGTCTAGGACTTCTGCAATTTGGGTAAGTTGTTGGGTTGCAAATTCAGCCCATTAGTAGGTTAAGAACTTTCTATTTTGATGTCATATTGAGTATTATTCAGCTGGTTCTTATTTGTTGTAAGCATCTTCAATAACTGCAGGCTATGGCATTTGCACCTGTTATTGGGGGAAAGAGCTGTATTATAGCTGATCAAAGTGGATCTGGAAAAACTTTGGCATATCTTATACCAGTAATTCAGCGTCTTAGGCAAGAAGAGCTCCAAGGAATTGGCAAATCTTTATCACAAAATCCTCGAGTTGTTATATTGGTGCCAACTGCTGAGTTAGCTTCTCAGGTCAGTTGCGGCTCCGCTCTCTCTCTTTTGTTGTGTTTAATATTTTTACATGCTCTGTATATTTTTTCATTTTCTTGTGTTTTTGCCATACTTTTCGCAAGACAATAATTTTATAAATTTTCGCTCCTTCCATAGGCAGACATTATTATTATTATTATTTTTCTGTGCATGAAAGATGTATTACTGTCATTGATTTTCTCTTTCATAGACATCATATTACCTTACAAATTTGAAGTATTATCTATTATGGCACCCTTTTAGTTGCAGATATAGACAATTCTCTTTGACTGACCATACGTATTATAACTTTCTATGTTTAAGCATCAGTTGATCTGCAATAACATAATTCCTAGTCACATTACATCATCACTGTTCGGCCCATTTCTTTCCTATGATGAGTGTGATATTTCCAACCATTTTTAACTTTTAACTTTTATCTTGGTATATGATCTTGGTCTTGTCTATAGTAATGACTGTTGAAGGATTTATGTATTTAAGTTACACTCTCTCTAACAGCTTAAGCTTTTAGAGTAGATGGTTATTAACATGGTATCAGAGACAAAGGTCTCGAGTTCAAACCTCACAGTCACCCTAATTAAAAAATTGAAAAACACGTGTTGGACGAAAAGAAGGCCACACGTGAGGGGGCGTGTTGAAGGATTTGTATATTTAAGTTACACCCTACCTAACAACTTAAGCTTTTGGAGTAGATTGTTGTTAACAATGACCATTCTCATTTTCCATTTATGGATGGAATTAGCTATTTATCAGGTGAAAGATTATTTTCTACCATAAGCTCATTGCTGGTATTTCGATACTTAGACGTTGAGAGAGTATGCAGTAGAAACCATGATGAAGGAGAGTTCTTTTTTAAGGTTCGACTCCTCATGGGTGCAAACAATATCTTGGAGGGAGGGTATGTGAGTACCAATTAGGGAAAAAACCTAGGCCAAGCTCTTACCCACCTGAGCCAACCCTTTGGGGTTTGAAAGAGAATTCTTATCTCACTTGGGTAGGATAATACTTGTTTGCTTCTAAGAAATGATAATTTTGTTGGTTCTTTATATTTGCAGTCATGTGGATCAAGTTTTTGGGAGCTATTGTTGTCAGGGGCTTATTTGTTATTACTTATATAATGTTGGGGCTTATGTGTAATTTCTGAAACTTGTTAGTATAAATAGAATGTGGTGGAAGGATGAAAGAATTCTTTCATTCTTTTGCTCTTTTCCTATCTCTCTCTCTTTTTTTCTCATCCTCTTTCTTCACTTTTTTTCCTTCTTATACTTTACTCTTGATTTGATTATCTCTTAAAATCAACATGGTATCAAAGCATGGTTTGTAAAGCTCTAGGTGTGTAGTTGAAACCCTAGGGCAAGTTTGTGTAAAACCTAGTGGGTGTGAAGGGTTTTGAAGATATTCCAAGATGATATTTGTTTGCAAGGAAGTAGTGTTAATCACATCCACACGTTTTTTGGACCTATTTTTGATCCATTGCAGTCTTGATCGGCCTTTTTTACGTGTTCGCGTGGTTATGCAACAACGGTTTTTCTTCGTCGTTCGCGATTCTGCTATGGTCTACTTTGTTGCTTTCTAGGGTTTGTGTGGTGACTGTGTGGTCGCTTTTTTATGCATCTCAGAAGATGGTAATCTTTCTAGTTGAAGTTTGTGTGTTAGAGAGGTGGTTCTCTACGTATTTTGTTGCTGCTTTTGTTTCTGAGGATTGTATACCCAGAAACTGTTTGATAAAATGTCTGTCTCAAAGGTAACTTCAAAAGAAGCTAGGTCTTCTCCTAGTTTGACTCCAGTATTGGGAGGTAATAGTGATCACCACCCAAGCCTTTAAATTACGACTTCTAGGCTAGATGAGACGAACTATATGGAGTGGGCTTAATCTGCTCATATGCATATCACTGGTCGTAGGATGATCGACCATATCGAAGGGACTGTCACATATCCCTCCAAGAGTGATCATGCATTCAAAGAGTGGAGTGCAAATAATGCACTAGTTATGACGTGGTTGTTGTAGTCAATGAAGCCACAGATCAGCAAAGGGTTTCTGTTTCTGAAAAAAGCTAAAGAGCTATGGACGGCTGTGGATGAGACGTATTCCTCGGTCGGTAATTTTGCAAAACTGTATGAACTCTAACAGCAGATTTCAAGATTCAAGCAGGAAGACCAAACTCTTGCTACATATTACCACACTCTACTTGGTAAATGGGAAGGGTTAGGTCACTACCAAGACTACATACCTGTGTGTGCAGCTGATGTTAAAGCATTTCGTGCTATGGTAGGAAGGAATCGAATCTATGAGTTCTTGGGTGGTCTACATCCGAGATACGAGCATGCCAGGGTACAAGTTTTAGGCAGGTATCCGGCCCCTACTTCTGTTAGAGATGTGATTTTGTATATCCAAGCTTAGAAGAGTAGAATGAAGGCTATGTCTACACTTGTATAAGCCTAAGCTAGAAGTACCATTGTCTGAGAGGTATGCTTTTGCCACACAACAATGGAACAAGCCCAATCCTCCAAAAAGAGGGGAAGCAGGATGATAAGAGCAAGTTAAGGTGTGATCATTGTGGGCGTACGCGCCACACTAGGGAAACATGATGGAATCTACATTGTCGCCATACTCCAGCTCCTTTTTATGCTAATGATAGGCCAAGGCCTGGTCCATTTAGGGGGTTATCTATAGCATTACTGCAGAGCATGAGATTGCTTCTATTGGTCATGCCTCATTAGGGCCACTGAGTTCTTTGTCCGGGGCTGAAATTGATACTCTTGATTCTTTTCCCAATAGCATTGCTGTTGATCTTGATGTCCCTATTGCCTATCGTAAGGGTGTTTGTAGTTGTACAAAACATTGTATATCTTAGTTTGTATCCTATGATGCCTTATCTCCAACATATTGTGCTTTCACTTCATGTATCTCCTCTGTATCTGTTCCTTGTAGTGTTTCAGATGCTCTCAGTCAACCTCCATGGAAGGAAGCCATGCCTGAAGAGAGAAGGCCTTGAGAAGAATGGTACTTGGGATATTTTTCCATTGCCTTGGGGTAAGAAACCAGTAGGCTGCAAATAGGCCTATAGACTCTACACAATAGAGTATCATGTAGACAGAGCAATTGAGAGATATAAAACCCGGTTAGTTACAAAGGGCTTCACTCAAACCTATGGGATTGATTATCTAGAAACATTTGCTCTAGTTGCCAAGATGAACTCTATACATGTCATTTCTTTGGCAGCTAATTTGAATTAGCCTTTACATCAGCTGGATGTAAAGAATGCTTTCCTTCACGGTGACTTGGAGGAAGAGGTGTATATGACTATGCCACTGGGGTTTAAGCTGGCCAATGGTCAGAATTTAGTGTGCAAGCTAAATAAAGCCTTGTATGTTAAAGCAATCACCATGTGCTTGGTTTGAGAGGTTCAATATTGCTGTGAAAAGAATAAGGTACACACAGAGTCAAGCAGATGATACTCTCTTCATCAAGAAGCACCAGGGCTGCACCACTTCCCTTATTGGATATTGGTGGGGCAGCGGAAGCGCGCGAATAAATAAGATCCAACAAAAGCCAACAAAGAAATCGCACACAAACACAAGATATACATGGTTCAGCCAAAATCGGCCTACGTCCATGGATGAGAAGAGATTCCACTATGATTCGTAGAGATATTACAACAATAGAGCACAAACACCACATACATGTCATTTGACCATATACCACTCCACGAGCCTATCTCCTCGTTAACAGTGTCATCGGTGTTTTTCCTACTCTATTAACCTATAAACTACCTCTACCCATCAACTCTCTTATGAGATTACATCTCTCTCATTCTCATAAGTCTCAACCTAAAGCCTACGTGTCTATTTATAGAGTTCCAAACCCAATTCCTTGTTGGACAAGGATTACAATTTCTTATAGGCCAAGACTTGCCAAATAAGAAATTACCTAATAGAATACAACTCTAAAAGAGAATACTAATTAGAGTAGGAATTTGAGACACAATTTCCAACAATCTCCACCTTGGCTTAAATTTAATCTAGCCAATCATCGCTTCCATGGCATTGATCAGGACAATTCTTTTGCAGCTTCAATCTTGACGATACTCCTGCAAAATTGCGATTGTCCACATTATACATTGCTCGATCAATTAAACCTCTAAGGCTCCACCTTGACTACTCGAGCTCCATGCCATGTAACCAAGCCGATTAACTCCACCTACAATTGAAGTTGTTACAGCACATGTTGAGACTTCTTGTGTTTTCTGGATCTCCTTCACCTTTGGTTCTGATACCAATCTTTGACTCTGTTACCAATTTGTTGGGGCAGTGGGAGCATGCGAACAATAAGGATCCAATAAAAGCCAACAAAGCAATCACACACAAATATAAGATATACATGGTTCAGCCAAAATCGGCCTACGTCCATGGATGAGAAGAGATTCCACTATGATTTGTAGAGATATTACAACAATAGAGTACCAACACCACGTACATGTCTTTTCACTATGTACCACTCCACGAGTCTATTTCCTCACTACCAGCGTCACCGGTGTTTTTCCTACTCTATTAACCCATAAACTACCTCGACCCATCAACTCTCTCATGAGATTACATCTCTCTCAATCTCTTAAGTTTCAACCCACAACATATGTACCTATTTATAGAGTTGCAAACATAATTCCTTGTTGGACAAGGATTACAATTCCTTAGAGGCCAAGACTTGCCAAATAAGAAATTACCTAATATAATACAACACTAAAATAGAATCTTAATTAGAATAGGAATTTGAGACGCAATTTCCAAGAATCTTTTAATCTCCAATTTTACAAGATTACTATTTGGCAAGTCTTTGCTTATAAGAAATTGTAATCCTTGTCCAACAAGGAATTGGGTTTGGAACTCTATAGATACATAGGCTTTGGGTTGAGACTTATGAGAATGAGAGAGATGTAATCTCATGAGAGAGTTGATGGGTAGAGTTAGTTTATGGGTTAATA